CAAGAAATGGATTTTCCAGGATTAGAGATCACCAGCACACATTGATATAGATGGAAACCTGTAGAAAGCTTCTATGGATTCTTTGGTCAGACCTTCTTGTTGAGCACACTTATTATGAGACAGTTGGCTTTTGTTTAGTGAGCGATCCTAGTGAAGGACGGGAAGCAAGGATGTCTGTCCTGAATGCTGTGGCTCTTGGCTGCTACAGGTGCAGGTGATACCCTGGGTGATCTCTGACAGCAACTACGTGCGTTGCCCTGCTCAACGTCTGGACCCGAGTAAGACGGTGTTTGTTGGTGCACTGCACGGCATGCTGAATGCTGAAGCGCTGGCCAGCATCATGAACGATCTCTTTGGAGGAGTCATGTATGCTGGCATCGACACGGACAAGCACAAGTACCCAATAGGTGAGACTGCTAGTCTCGAATTGTCAGTCAGCATCTACTGCAGTTCAGTTCTTGGTGTGTAGGTGTGGTTTGACCTTTAAGAGCTGCTTTGAGTGACATTGTTTGTCTTCTGTACAGGCTCTGGACGTGTCACTTTCAATAATCAGCGCAGTTACCTGAAGGCTGTGTGCGCAGCATTTGTGGAGATTAAAACACCCAAGTTTACAAAGAAGGTAAAGACATGTTTACTGCATGTGGTCTCTACAGCAGCAGAGAAGTCTTTCAACAGCTTTATGCTGCTTTTAGTAAAGTGTCAATTTTCAAAACTTGTCTGCTATAAATTGCGCATCGTTTCCCCTTCAGGTTCAGATTGATCCCTACCTGGAAGACTCCATGTGTCAAGTTTGCCTTCGCCAACCTGGACCTTTCTTCTGCAGAGATCAGGTCAGTGGAATCTCCTACTCCCTTTTTTTTTTGTGAGCATGGCTGGGTCAAGCTTTCCGTCCAGTAGACTTGATGTCTTATACTGAACCAGAATAGTAAAATTTGGTAATTAAATCATGATCCTTTAAGCTTGTTTGTATATGAGAGGACACAGAAAAGGGGAATTAAGCAGCTTGAGTCTTAACTGTAGTTCAACCTCATCTTCTATTGAAATATGGGAGTGATGTTGTTATAGAAGTTTACAACTTGTCTTGTTTAATTGGTAGTTTAATTCAAGTTTAAGTTACAATATTGTTACTTGTTTTAAATCAGATGTGCCTCTATAATGACCTGTCTCACTCTTAGGCCTGCTTCAAGTACTACTGCCGCTCCTGCTGGCACTGGCAGCACTCGATGGACATCTTAAGCAACCACCGGCCCCTCATGCGCAACCAGAAGAACAGAGACTCCAGCTAGAGGAGACGGATTCAGAGTCCCTGAAGGGCCAGAGGAGGTGCCCGTCTGCACGGGGCAAGGCTGCCCGCCAAGGAGAGCACGTGTGCCAGACCTCCGGTACAAGGATACCATGGCACACCACCAGGCACTGGGGATATCACTATAGAAAATGTTCACTTTTGCACTTGCTACATTTTTGCTGTTCACAGTGGCACTATGCACAGTGACCTTGTTGGGAAAGACAAGGAGCCCTTCACTCTTATGCATTTTCCCAGACTTGTGGCCAGATGGAAAGATGGGAGTCAGCCTAAGGTTAAGAAGTGGATGAAAACACCATTTCTTTAAATTTATTTTTTTTTGGTTTACATGTGTTGCATAGTGAAGAGCAATCACGCAAGTCTCATTGCCGTTCATTGGCAAACGCCATACAGTGCCTTTAAATTTTTATTTCCTCCCCCCTCCCCCTACCCCCAGTTGGCATCAGTTTTTTCCTGTGCAAGCCAACTGGTGTTTCTTACTTTTGGGAGTTGAATGTTGGGCTTCATTTAACCAGTCGCATTTCAGACATTTTTACGCAGTTTTTTACTAATTTGTACACAAACGGTTTTAAGTCATGACATGAAAATTCTGAACAATTATACCCAGTGGCTGTTTATGGGAAAACCCCCTTTTATTTTTTTTTTTCCTGGCTTTTTTTTTCTTTTTAATTTGCCCTCCCAAATTTCAACTGAATGGGCACAAATTGTTGGATGTACTACTTCGACTTTGTTGGTCCAGTTATATTAAATGTAACGGTAGTACTGGATAACTCAACTGGTAATCCATTTTCTTTTTTCCAAGCAACTGATAGATCTTGATGAAAGTACAGTGAGCAAATCATTTGTACATAGTTTGATTTCTGTTTTTGCACTTTTTAATTTGCACGTGTGGAGAGGTGGCAGTGGTTTTTAATCACTTTTTGTACATCGGCAGGGGGACATGCCTATGTTAGAACAGCTGCTTGTTTCCTGTTGAATGTAAGAACTTCCACTTAGCTGATGATAAATTATCTATCCCAGAGCTTGAGTAGACCAGTACATGATTCAATGCTTTCTTATCCCATTTTGCCTTCCTGTTCCAGTTGGACATAAATGCATAATAAGCTGTGTGCCAAAGACGAAGTGTCTTTTCTTTATCCATTAGGTTTGTCATGCTGAGCTTGTTGTCCCTTAGCCCAGCTGCTTTTTAGAGTTTTGAAAGTCTACCTCATTGTGGTCTGCCAAGTTTGCTGCTACTTAACAGTTGTGGAGTATGTTCAGATTGGGCACAATAAAGGTGTTTAAGCATTACTAGCCATGTCTGGACTCCTAATTGTTTGTGCTGTCATTCTTTTGAGATCTCGGTCAACAGCCTCTGCAGGTCGCTGCTAAACTGATTTAATTAAAGAGGTGATCACACCTGCGAGAGATGGTAAACTGTAAGCCCAGGAAACATGATGGTAACTGGGTAGTGGAATGTCACTGAGCTATATAGTTTGTGGTGAAAGGAACCAATGGCAAATTACAAGGTTTGACATGTTCAGACGATGCCCCCTGTCACAAAGCAGTGTTTTACGTTTGTAGTTAAAATTAAAGCTGAAATTAACATGCACACAGCTTCTATACCAGCCCAACTAAACCATCCAAACGCTTGGGAATGGTGTGAAATGGGACATCACAGGCCCCTCCAAGGTTGATACATGTTAACTTGTCAAACCTTCCCTACAAGTTGCTTCTGAACCTGACACTAATTTAATGTAAATCTACCTTAATGTTGTGCTTAAAATCTAAATTGGCAGTTTTGTGCAAGAGAAATACAGTTAGTATCCAGAGCATGGTTAGTACTGTTGCCGCACAGCAAGAAGGTCCTAAGTTCAATTCCACCATCAGGGTGGGGT